TAGAGAAGGATGTTGCCCTTCCAAGTTGACTCACCCTTTGGTGAGCCGCCCGAGGGTAAAATTTAGAGAAGGATGTTGCCATTTCAACTTGACTCACCCTTTGTGGGCAATGCAGGGGCAAAATTTAGAGAAGGAAGTGCTCATTCCAAGTTGACTCACCCCTTGGTGAGCCACTGGAGAGTAACAAAAATAGACAAGGAAGTGGCTATTCCAAGTTGACTACCCTTTTAAGTGAGCAACGCAGGGTGAAATTTGGAATACGCAGCAACATTCGGGAAAGGGCCTGTGTGCGCACTTGACTCCCCATGGTGGGGTGTGCGCACGCTGAGTTAACAAGTGTGTGCGCAGATGAGGCACAAGTGCCGATAAATGTGTGTGCGCAGTTGAGTTGAATCCGTGTGCGCGGCTGCGGCGCCGCCCTTCTGTAAGCCACCCGAATGTACAGTAGTAAAGGTTAGAGGGCAGAAAGCCATTCCATTCTAGCACGCCAGTAAAATTTTGGAAGAGCTGGATCTGAACCTCTGCAAGATTTTGTGGGTCTCTAGGCTCTACACCTTTACACTAGATCTGTCTGGATGTCGAGGCCTTTGGATCTTTGTAGATGTAGGCGTCCTGTTCTCAACCATGACCTCTTGAATCTCCAAAACCTGAAACACCTTATCTTTTGAATTCTTGGCAATTTCGAACCGAACACAGAGGGCAGAGGCCGACCGTTGTAGTGGATAGGTTGGTCTCGACCCAAGGGCCCTACAGGACAATCCAAGGTATCCGTGTAGGTTGATTTAGTTTTTGTTTTTTTTTGATGCGTTTTTGCTTTTCTTTTGATCACTGCTTCGAGTTGGACTATTGCGCTTCCCTCCACTCGTTTGGGTCCGTTTATTTTTTTATTGATTCATTTTTGTTTTTTCTTGATACCCTGAATTATATTTGTTTTTTGATGCATTTTTATTTTTTTTTGATCCCTTGCCCCTCCGCGCGTGGCCACCTTCCGCGTTTCCGGGCCCAGGCCGGTGGGCCTCACGGAGGAGGTGGCCAACAGCGGGAATCGTCTTCGAACCCATGCGGCAGGAGCCGCGGGACCCTGACGACCTGGGGGTCGTGACCCGTTGGACCGCAGGGGAGCGCGGCGTTTGCGACAGTGGGGGGGGTAGCGGTGTGGTAGATGAAAGGAGGTCAGATGGAGAGCTGGAACAGGTTCATGAAGGACGGGAGGATCTTGCTGATGTCGTCCGATGCTGCCTTTTGAAGGAAAAGTGCAGCTCACCAAGTCGACGAAGCAGGAAGAACTGGGCGAATGCATGGAATGCACCGTTTTGCAGTGTTCATTCTATCCAGCAAATCAAGGCGGGTTTCATCTGCTTCAACCTAGGGAGTCGTCTTGTCACGTCGATCCCCAGCCATGAGTCTTGATGGTCAAATACCTAAGAGCTCGGTGGCATCATCCGTCAGCGATATGGTCAAATACAAGAACACAACCAAAGCTGCATTTGGAATCTTTGGACCGCCTTCGATACCGGACGCTAAAGAGTCTTCTGACCTCCTCAGCTCACTTGTTGCGTGCGATCAGGTCGTCCCGGGCTGCTCCAGGGTACCACCAACCGGGTGTGTTGGCGGTCCTTCAGTCCTTCAGCTAGAGGCCGCCTTTTTGGGTCTCATCCAGGGCAGCTCCTTTGGCGTTCTCTTCACACTAAGCTTATTGCTCGAACGTTGCTTCGGCGCATGGGCACCTGCATGTGGTCGGCTTGGGACAGTCTCGCACATCCAAAGTGCCAACGCGACGTGGTGGTGGTTCACTTGGGGCAACCCGTGCACCGCACCACCAGTGCAGGGGCAACCGTTCCACCACGGTTCCGTGGTGTTTGGTGTTGTAATTTGATCCCTGGAGGATAGCGGGAAGAAATGGCAACTGGACATGAAAGCAGAAAATCCAACTTTCCGTTTCAGAAGACCTCGTTTCCTTTGTTTCTCTTCAATGATTCCTCCCCATAGTGCTGGGTAGTCCAGGACCCAGACAGGATGGTCCTAGTATGTCCTGGTAATCAGTTCTGACTTTTCAGTGATGGACACCAAGTGTAAAGAAGCCTTGCCTCAGCCGTTTCGCGGCTTTCCTTCGCTCAGTGTTGCAGCAACTTCGAGTTTTGCTGCGCAACGGGGCCCCAGTGGGAGGTACGGAGAATGTGTTGTTTGGCTGTTTTATATGACAGTGACCCATTGTTTATCGTAATTTAAACTACTACTTTAATATGGGCCAACCATAGGCATCTCCGGCATCTCCGTTGTTGCATGTGATTATTCATATTTGGATTCAGATGTTTTTTAGTGACATTTGGACTTTTGTAGTCATCCGACTCAATAAGATAGAACAATGAGACAATGACACCCTGGGTCTGGTAATATCCGGTATTTTAGTTGGTTGAACATGACCATGGTGGACTTTGGTCGGAGGTGGTTTAAAAAACACATGTCACATTATACATTAAAACACACCTTCCAGTAGTGTTTTTCCTGTTGTAATCACGTGACATCACATGACTTTCGAAGCAAACTATTGAAAACCTAGTTTGGTCGCAAGACATTTTCTGTCATGGTATACATATACATACATGATTTCTTGCAGCAACTGTTACATGTTTCTTGCAGCAACTTTTGCTCAGCATTTTGTAGGCAATAACTTGCATCCTTTATACACACAGGGGAGAGAAGTTGAGTCCAAAGGCGGGGCTGCCGACCGTGCCGATGTAGGGGACAAGATGGCAGAAGGGACCCCAAAATGGCCGGCAGTCTGGATGTACCGATGGAATCCGGAGGCATTCCAAAAGGGGGTTTGGCCTAATAAGTATAAGCATTTCACAAGTTTACCATATGCTTCTCAGCATTGTTGATTTGATATTCTGATATTCGCTTCAATAACCTGGATGTCCGTACTACACACTTGCTGATGTTGGATAGTTCTGGTTCTGACGTCGTACGTCCTCCTGCCGCCATTTAAAACGCCGGTGATGCCGGATCGCAACAACCGACGTCTCCGTTGGAGGCAATGTCGACCAATGATGACCAGATCAGTTCTGATCTGGAGGCGGGTGCTGGAACATAGCAGTTGCACTGTCTGCAGTTTGGAGGAAAACGGTGGTATATATCCAGGTGTATGTCATCGTGTCACATGACTTCTGAAAGTTTTTCTAGGGATCCAAATACCGTCTCAGAAGGTGATTGGAGACACTGTTATGTAGGTTTGGAGGGTCCAGTCGTACCGAACCTGAGAAGGTGATTGGATCCCTAGGGTATATGGTTTCCAGGATTCTTCGTCATGTCAATCAGAGTCTGGGACTGGACTTCAACCCTGAGCCGGGGGCCGGCCCTGTCGCAAGGACAGGCCCGCTCCCTTGGCGATCAAGCAAGCAAGCAGTGAGACAACATATGAATGAACCCTTCGTTCACTGTACAGTCTTACCTGTGATGATGTTTCATGCTACCTTTGACTTCTGTCCAGATCACTGGTCCTGAAGGGTTGCTGTCCGCTTCAGCTCCTCTCCAATATGATATCTCTTGGAGCCACATGTTCGCCTTCTCCACATGTTCGCCACACGGCAGACATTTGCCGATGACGACGATGCCCTCTACCGCCGCGAGAAAGACTGCGACAGCGACTCCTTTGGGCGCCAAACGAGCATTGACACCCGCCAACCAGAGCCCAACCGTGCCGGGGAAACCGAGCGGTTGCGTGGGAGAAACAGGAAGAAACGCCTAGGACTGGAAAAAAAAGTGTTTAGTTTCCATGGTGGAACGTGTGAAGAAAAAGGTGCCGTGGATGTGCTGTAGGATGACGTTTTCATCGGGAATGTCTTTTCGGGGAATGACTTGGAGGGGTTGACCGGGGCAACGCCTTGATACACCGGGTGTAATCGGTGGAATGCTGAAAGTCAGAAGTGAGAATTCAATCATTTGGATCAGTTTTGACTGACATCCCATGATTTGTACGTAGTAGACCTAAGGCCTTGCCTTGCAGGCTACCAAAAGGCGTGGCGGGCTGCGTGCCTGCAGCGTTTCCTAATGCCTTCATGCGAATCCTAGAGCTTTTACACCCTGGTTTGTCACAGGATCACAAGTCCTGCGTGCGCGCAGTGTTAGCTAATGTGTGTAAGATAATCTTACACACCATTAACTGTCACAGGATCGCATTTCCTGCGCGTGTGCGTAACATAATCCGGTCCACCTATTAAAAAACACGCGGCCCCCCCTAATAAGAAAACCTCGGTCGCCTTTTAAATAGGGGTGGTCCCTGAAATCGGGGTGGTCCAAAATAGGGGCAGTGGAGTGGAAGGATCGCGGTACTGTGTGGACCTTGAAGTGCAGATTTCGTGGCAGGTGCAGTACTTTGTTGACCTGGAAGTGCAGATTTCGTGGCATGTGCAATACTTTGTGGGCCTAGACGTGCAGACTAAGCAGTTTTTGAGGCAGGGCAGGTTGATATCCTCTAAGACCCCCTTCAGTATAGCGGCAGAAACGACAGGGAGGCAGGCAGCGGAGGTGGGAGAACCAGGGTCTCGACGACGCCGACGACGACTACTTAATTAATACTATTACCACTACTACTACTACTACCACTACTACTTCTACTACTAATTACTACCACTAACACTACTACTACTACCGCCACCACCACTACTACTACTACCACCACTACTACTACTACTACTACTACGACTACTACTACTACTACTACGACTACTACTACTACTACTACTACTACTACTACTACTAGGTCCGGGGGGGGTTTTGGGGAACCTTACTCCCCAACATTCGGCTATTAGGTCAAGAGGGAGTTTTTGGGGAACCTTAGGTAATTTAGTAGCGGCTTGAAAGGGCGACAATCTAAAAACGAATATATATATGAGAAAGTGCATTTGCCTTTGGGTTGACCTGTCAGGACCTTAGAAC